GGGGAGCAGAGGGCCGCATCTCGACGATGGACCACCAGCTGCTGGCGGTGTGATGTGTTTGAGAGACAAAGAGAGAGCTCGTCTCAAGTCAAGTCTGGTGCCTCAAGTTGACAGGCCTGGTCGATGCTGTGCTTCTTGCGGTTGCTGCAGGATGAAGGACGGGCACTGACAGGACGGTGGATATCGATGTCGATCGAATACGAATAGTTGCAAAAGCGACTGTAGGGTATACGAGGAAAAACTGGAGAAGCAAAAGGAAAAGCAAACAGAAGGATGTGCGGGAGCCATGATGGTTTTACTGCGCTGCACTCGCAAACGCGGATGGCTGGGTGAGGGAAGCTCGGAAAAGCTCGTGATGGGAAATGTTGGTGGTTGGGAGGTTGAAATGGCTCCATTTTGGTGGTGGTAGTGCAGCTTCCAAAGCGGTTTGACAGTTGATCCAGGGGTTACTCACAAGGGACTTGACTGCATGGGGGGATTTGGATGGAGGGGTTAGGTACCTTTGGCTGGTTGGCCAGGGACGCAGCGACTCAAGGGCACCAATGGCGGGGGAGCAACAGGCCTAAAGGTGACGGGAGGTGGGCAGAAACCAGGCACGCGTGGCACGCCAGGTACGGGCTGGGTTGAGCGGCTCGCTTAGCTTGCCGAGGTGGATCCGTCGTGGCCAATGGGAGATTGTAAAAGACGGCTGCCCAGCCACCCGCGTTCCTGTTGCTGTTGCAACTCAGCTGGCGGAGATTTTGACACTGCTGCATCTAGACTTCGCAGGAAGCTACCATCATTTGAAGAAAAAGGGGAGATGTGCTAGCGAAGCTTCAAAGGCAAACAGCTACTAGTGACGGTACTGTCATTCGGATCGCAGGCTGGGGATACACTTTGTCGAACCACATCCTGGCATGCGCCTGTTCAGTGCTGGCTGGTTTTTCGAGGTGCGAGGTATCTTGGTATTGTTATGTAATTCAGTGTCACAAGCCACCATGGAGAAGCCACCAGCCACGAATGACATGAGCCACGTAGAGCCGGAAAGGCCGAGATCTGTCAGCAAGTGGCGGTGCAGCCGGAACCATAGCTCGCCTGTGGCTCGTGCATCAGAGCCTCGGCCTGTGGCTTGCCCCTGCGTCCTCCTCTTCCTCCTCCAGACGAACCCTTCCCCTCGACTCTCCGCTCCGCTCCCACCGCTGCACCACCGGCGCTTCTGTCTGCCCGGTCCACTTCCTAAGCTTCTTCACAAGAAACAGTCGCCAAAGTCGTGCAAGGGCAAGGGAGCTCTGGCCCCCAGCGTGCATGTCATCTCGTAGGGCAGCAGGGTCGCCGTCGATCACACCTTGCGCGTTTGTTTGCTCTATCATTACTCTTCAGCTTCGGATATCCGTACTAACTAATTCAAGGTCTACAGCATCTAGAACAATTGCTTTCTACCTCGACTCAATGCCTCATTCATCATGAATTGAACAGCGAACATACCCCACCGCATCGGGCTGCAGCAATGGTGCACAGGAACGCGAGACATTTGGCAGTGCTACCTCGATTACGCATCTCTGTGGCGCTGACAGCAGCTCAACAGGGTTGGCGCCTTGGAGGATGGAAACATTTGGACCTTCTGGTCGGTTACTGTGGATCTCATCGCACTGCCCGCGCCGCCCAGAAGTCGTGTTTAATCTTCCAGGTGGATGACGTTGAGTTTCTTTGCTGGGCGCGTGCCTACTAAGCCACCACACCAGTCTGGGCAGACCGTCTCGCAGCCCAATGACTTTGGCTTTTCTGCTGCTGACTGCTGGGAGAAGCTCCGCGTACGGATCGATTCGTCGGGTTCGATCTTCCACCTTAGCTCAAGCTCTTACCACCAACAGTAAGCAGGTGACGGCCGGAAAGGATCACCTCCAGCTTCCCCCTCTCAGCACCGGCACAGGGCCCAAACACGCAATTCTTGCCTCAGCAAAAGACTCACAGCCACACACCGGTCTCGTCGCCGTCACCTCGCTTGCCTCTTGAGACCCCGTCTTGTCCGTCCGCCACATGTAAGCTTTAAAATAAGCTACGCCGCCCAGTCCCATCTACGATTCTCTCATCCGACTTTCCGTCTTCTTGCATCTCGTCACCTTGTGCTGCCCCGCAGTCTTTTACAACACCTACTCCGTACGAATACGCAGTTCACATTTACCTAACATCCAGTACCCCGCCCCCTCTTGACCTCTGACGCAAGCCCGCCCCCGATTCTCCCGGCACCGTCAACCGATCGAGCTCTGCGCGTCGCATTCCAGACTTCAATGTCCTACCCAGGCCAGTACGGCTACGGCGCCCGTAAGTTGCATTCCGCATCTCTGCGATCCTCTCATGCTTGTTGTTTAGATCTTGACATCAATTCAGAGCCTCACGGCCAGGGCTACGGACAGCAGTACCCGCCCCCTCAACAGGGAGGTTACGGCGGATCACCTTATCCTCCGCAAGGAGGACATTACCCTCCTCCTCAAGGTCCTCCGCCCGGCCAATATGGTGCACCTCCTCAACAGGGCGGCTACTACCAACAACCTCCTCCGGGCCAATACCCCCCGCAAGGCGGACACTACCCCCCGCCCCAAGGTCCTCCGCCAGGCCAGTATCCGCCTCAGGGCGGCGCATACGGCGCACCTCCTCCGATTCCTCCCTCGCCATATGGCGGACACTCTCCCGCGCCGGGTGGCTACGGGGCACCGCCACCCAACCAGTCGTATGGCGCTCCCCCGCCTCAGCACTACGGACCCCCAACGCCGGCGTCTTTGGGATACGGCGCTCCTCAGATCATCCAATGGGATGCGACTCCTGACGCGACGACAGCGCGCAACGCAATGAAGGGGTTTGGTACCGACGAGAAGACTCTCATCCGCTGTCTAGCAACCAAGGATCCCCTGCAGATCGATGCCATCAGAACAGCATTCAACAGGAATTTCAGGCGTGATCTCGAGCAGGATATCAAAAAGGAGACAAGTAGTTGGTTCCAGAAGGGCTTGGTGTCTATCGCCCGCGGCCCCCTCCGCTCCGATATCTACAACTTGTACGAGGCAATGGACGGGGTTGGCACAAAGGAGAGTGTTCTGAATGACATTCTCCTCAGCCGTTCAAACGCGGATCTGCAGGCCATCAAGAGCGCATACCAGCAAACATTCAAGAGGCGCCTGGAGGATGACGTAAAGGGCGACCTCAGCATGAAGACCGAGAGGCATTTCCTCATCGTTCTGGGTGCCAACAGGGCAGAAGACTCTGCACCCGTTGTGCCACAACAGGTCGACTCAGATGTCATGGAGTTGTACAAGGCTACCGAAGGCAAGGTCGGCACGGATGAGATGCTTGTTTGCAGCATCCTGAGCACCCGCAACGACAATCAGATCCGCGCCATCAACCAAGCCTACGAGCAGAAGTTTAGGAGGAAGCTTGAGGAAGTCATCAAGAAGGTAAGCCGGCCCAATTCGACGCGCACGTCATACCCGATACTAACTTACGCGATAGGAATTCTCTGGACACATGGAGGACGCCCTTCTTTTCCAGCTCCGCAACGCAGTCGACAAGTACATGCATGCCGCCAAGCTCCTGGAAGACTCAATGGCTGGGCTCGGCACCAAGGATCATCTGCTCGTAGCGCGCGTGGTGCGATACCACTGGGACAAGAACACCCTCGCCAACGTCAAGGGTGCGTACCAAGCTAGGTACAACCGCAGCTTGGCGAGCAGGATCCGGGGCGAGACGAGCGGCGATTACCAGAGGCTGATGTTGGCGTGTATTGGCGAGAACATTTGAGCAGCGACAACGCGGGCGCGGAGTGCGAAACCGAATGATACCCTGGGCTGGGAAGGACTTCTCATGAGATAATGGCCGGGAATGATGGATGGATGGATGGATGAATAGACTGGAGGCCATAAGCGCCTATAACGATGGAGCTCGCGAAGAGCAGAGGTAATTGGACGGGTACTCGGCATGGTTATCAGTAGTTTACCGTAATGACAATCTGGACTCTGTTCTGGATTTGCAACACAACCGCTCTTTCAAGGTGCTCTGGGTGGTGACACAATGCCTCGGTCTTTGTTCTCGGCGCCAATGACGCTGTTGCATTCAGATGATTTCTCTCGAGACAAACTCGCTCCCACCTAATTGTCAACATTGCGATGCTTTACCGTTGTTCAAATGACCCAGTCTCGCTGCTCGTTACTGTGGCCGAAATAATACGAATCATGCGCTTCTTACACGTGGGTGACAAAATATGGAGAGAATTTATTGCGACTTGTTAATAAATGGGCTAAAAATGTTACTTTTTCTGCAGTAATTGCTCCAATTTAACGGCCACTCCTGCTCCGAATGCTCTGATTGGGTGCATCGAGTCCAAGCGTCTTATGTGCACCTTGAGGCAGTCGCGAATGTGTGACAGATTCTCATGTCATTATAAAGCAAACGGAAAGCGCGGCCAATCAAACCGGAGCTAAGGGGGTAAGAGCGGGTCTTTCCTGCCAAAAACGCTATAGCAAGTTATAGCACCTTCTCTAGCTATTACTTATAGCGGTCCCAGGCCCCCCTCCTTCTAAATAAGTCACGCTAATTAACTTTTTCTACTACCTTAATAAAGACGTGGCCCCTCCTCCGCCCTAACTTTTCCTATTTTTTCCACCCTTTACTTAACCAATCCGTGCTCCACTTACGTCTGCCCACTTGGTTGCGCAGAACGGCACTTTGAGGACGACGAGCATCACCCACGATCAAGATCGCGAACTCGAGATCGACGTCAAAGAACGCGTTTGACGAAAGATTGACGCGTCAACTCGTGGATAGTGAGCAGCTTCTTCTCAGCGCACTTTTGGCCCGTTACTAACACTCAAAAAGGTTGCACCTGACCAAATTGGGTCCATGGGCGACGATCTCATTCAACTTAGAGTCGTTCCTTCTTCAACCAGTGCACTTGGCTTCTTGAACAACATCTTCCCTTTGGCTCGGCTATAAAGTCACTTTCGACAAATCAACCAAGTGACCTTCCAGAAATGGCATCACCAATGATGCAGCAGCCGCCTATGCCCAACGGCGGCGCATACGGCCATGGATCAATTCGCCAGTCCGCATCACATTCTCCCGCTTTTCCTCCGCTATCGCAACCAGCTGCGGCTCCCAAGCAAACCCCGGTGCCCTTTCCTGTACCAGGTGCTGCTGCGAATGGAGTCAAGCCGCCTGTTGTTCCGGTTGTCACCTCTGATATTCAGCAAGAAACTCAGCCAGCGTCAGCTCAACCAACGGGTAACGTGGACAAAAATAAGAGATTTCATGACGACTATGCGCGGCTCTCCGCTGCGATCCAAGAATCAGACCCGGATGCAGTTAGACGTGCGATTAGGGACAACCACCCAAAGTGTCTCCTTGGCTCACACTATCACCTGGCTTTTCTTGTAAGTATCTGTCGCGGGGATCACCACGTTATGGGAAGGAAACCGAGAGGCTCTTGACGAATCACGATTGACTGACCCTCTTACAGATGAACGTCACCATGCATCAAGCCGACGTCGGAATCTTCCAGAGAGCCGTCAGAGACTTTGGCGCAAGGTTCCTAGAGGCTGGCAAGCACGAGCTTATCAATGCCATGACCACGGCTGACATCGATGAGGTGGCGGATAAGATTCTCGCCAAGGCCTCCGACACGTTCCTTGACAGAGCTCTCGTAGCTCGTCTGCCCACTATCCAGGCACGTCGACTTGTTAATGCCCTGGCGCGAGCGGAGAGGCTCGGATACGATGCTGCGGATATCGTCGAGAATGAACATGTCATCCCCTCCTTGCCTGGAAACGCTCCTGCGGCTCCGGCCCAACAACAACAGCACCTACAGCAACAGCAACAGCAGCACCAGCAGTTGCAACAACAGCATCAAGTTGCCCTCGCGCGTACGAACTCCTTCAAGAGTGTCAACCAAAAACCAGAGCTCCCTGTACAACCCCTGGAGCCAGCGGATCCTGCCAACCCGCAATGCCTCTACTGTCAGCGCACTTTCCCAGGGGTATCGGCCTACCAACATGTAAGTAATGGTCTCGTTTACGACGTAGACCAAGCTAACCGTCAGCAGCACGTCAAGAAGAAGATCTGTGTCAAGACGTCTCCGCTGTCAAGGTCGACTAGTGAGGCGTACATGTGCCCTCACTGCGCGCAAAGATTCGGCGGCATGGCTGGTTTGCAATACCACATGATGAACAAGGTGTGTGGCGACTTTGGCGAAGTCATCAAGGACGATATTTCCTCGATTCCGAAGGCGTCTCTGCCGCAACCAGTTCTCAACCCGCCCGTCAAACGGCCAGCTCCGGATAGCGCCCCCATGTACGTCGCCTCCGGTAGCAACAGCCCGGCATACTCGAACACCCAGACACCTCGCGCTCCTTCCAGCTCTCAGGCGGTTGATCTCTCGAATGCTCCATTGGGCACCCCTCAGCACAAGGACATGGCCCATCTCACAGTACATCAAATTGAGGCGCTGAAGGCCGAGTTGCAATTAGCCGAAGAAGGATTCAAGATGAAAATCGAAGCTGCGCAGAAAGCCGGTGGTGACCCGGATGAACTGCAGAAGAAGCTGGCGGGATTCAAGAACTCGTACGCATGCAAGCAGTCCACGATCCGCAAGAAGTACGGCATCAAGCTGCGCCAGCGACGTAATCGCGAGGAGATGGAATTGGAACGCCAGCGTATGGGCATGCCTGATGGTGTACCTCGCGCAATTCCTACGCCGAGTAAGGAAGGCCATGCCGACAAGCGAGCTCGCCTCAATGGAAATGGTGATGCGTCGGCGACGCAGACTCCGCGGGACCTCACACCGATCCAGACCGTCGCGGTAACAGACATGGCCAATGGCCTCAACGGGTCCAACGCGACGGCCGCAACACAGGATCCGACGGCGAGCATGAGCATGTCACACCCGCCTGCGTCCGCACAGCCGGTAGCAAGCCGGCCGCCGCCGTCGACATATCATCAAGGCAACTATAAAGTTGAGGTGCACGTCCCAAGCCCGTCGAAGAAGGTTGGGTCTGCTCCTCCGGACGAAAGCGCGATGGACGCAACGCCGTCGAGGCCATCGTCTAATGGCGGTATGACGGCCTTGCAGCTTCTCAAGCAAGTTGGGGGTGATGCCAGAGCCCCTATTGACTTGGACGACGTTGAGAGTTCCTCCGAATCAGACTCTAGCTCTGATGACGAAGAGTGACCAGGCCACCAGATACTGCATTTCTGAGTTTTGCCGTCTTTTTTATATCAGCACTGTTTGCGACGATTCCGCAACCTCGTGATTTTCGGCAGACAACTATTGCCGAGAGCGAGAAAAGGAGAGGGAGTGTTCGCATTATCTGGATGGAAGCATCCAGCTACTATTTCTCAGATCGCAGCCATTCGAATACCCCAGGTTTCTCATTTTCGGTACAGGCATCGGGCATACTCAAAAGGCGTTGAGGTCGTAGCGATGCAATTTTTGAGATTTCTTTAGACAACCGCGCGCAAGATTTTACTTTTCATCCAAGAGGTTCGTGGTTTCTGGGGTCGCAACATCTTGGGTCTGCAAAAGTCTTTGAAAGGCTTTGAAGGGGTCATTGAAGCGCAAGGGTCCAGACGGCCGGGGTTGAATCCCTGCAAGGCAGACATATCAATGTTAATTGCAAATAAAGACAGCGATCACAAACATGTGCTTGAATGCTTGTCCCTCTTTTTGAATGTGATGTGGCTCGGAGACGTGTGATCGACACTCATGCAGGGTCGGCATTGAAGACTTGCCTTAATGTAATTCATGTGCCGCCGCATGGGCGCAACGACTCATGGTCCATGCTCCCTTACATCTTACTTGTAGTTGGCAGACATGTAGATAACTCGTACTTGGAGGGTCAGCCATTGGGGTGAATTTTTGAAAGTGGCTGTTTTGTTTTGTTTGAAATATTGCTCCGAGGAGCTGCAGATGATAACGGAAAAGTTTAAATGAGGCCATGGGGAGTCGATTTAATAGTTTATATGGCAGAAAACTCAGGGGTGCAGGGCGAGAACATATCACCTGTTGCTGTGTTATGTCTATTTCATGATGAGGTGCATACAGGTCATGTCTCGAGCGTTGCAGATGCAGCCCATCTACGGCTATAGAGCTGCGGACGCAATTTGGCTTGACCGAGGTGAAGGAGGCCGTGATGTGACGTGATGACAGGTGAAGGGTGGTGCGTGCTGCAATCCGTGTCCCCGTGCTTTGCGTGAACAGGCGGGTGCCGTTGTCACGGTCTGTCAAGACTTGATCCTCTCGAGAGATGACACGGGAGTTGGCGAATTGGGGCATTCGTGTCGGGACGCAGGGTTTAGGGGATAGGAGCTTTGACTGAATGCATGGACGGACGAGGTTTCACTTCACTGAGGATGGCAGCTGCTAAAGATGCTGCCGTACGCTGCCTGCTGACTGCTGGCTGCTGCGCGCGGTGCAGTGCAGCGCATTGCAGGGTCAAGGAGTGCGGTGCGGTTTGCGTTTGTGTTCTCTAGGATACGTGATGTTTGCGGGCTCCGAGCGTACGGAGTACATGTTGCTCTTGGATCGAGTGACTGGAGGCGCGCGTCGCGTAGCGTGGCGGGGCCTGCCTGGGCAATATGTGATTCCCAGGTGGTGAGGGAGAGAGGAAGGATGCTCGCGCTTCCCGATGGAGTTTTTTTGGAATAGATTCCTGGTCATTGATTAGGTTCGGCGCGCATCGAATCTTCGTATTGTGGTGGAGGTGGTAGTTCAGCCGACCGTTGGTTCTCTCTTCTTGACCTGACCTGACCTGACGTGTGTAGTCAAAGCTTGAAGGACTTGTGGTCGGGTCAGGTCGAGACAAGTCAAAGGAGTGTCAGGGCAATGGCTGATTGTGGTTGGAGGAGGCGAGGTTGAGGTCGACTTGACCTGACGTATCCATAATCAAGCTATCTGTATGGATTTCATGGTCAGGTCAGGCAGGTCAACTGTTTTGCCAAGTCAAGTCAAGCAAGCACCCGAGCGATGGCAGCTTGGAAGTGGACGACTTGAGGCCAGACTCGACCTGACCTGAGGCATACTCCAACTGCAAAATGAGAGATGTTCTGGTCAGGTCAGGTCGAGTACGCAGAACAGTGTATAATGGGCTCGGGCCAGCTAAAGCTGTTCGTTGACGGGCAAGGGCTCGCTGCCATTGGAGCCTTGGAGGACAGGAGGCTGAATTTGACCTGGGGTACGCTCCATGTGCAAACAGATGTTATGCTCAGCTCAACTCACGTCAGGTCAGGTCAGGGACAATAGATCAGCTCAGCTCAAGAACACGGGGCCTGCGCAGGCACTGGGCCAATGGCCGATTGAGAGTAGAGATCAAAGCTGATCTGACCTGACCCGGCCATTGAATCTGTACAGGAATTCGACTGTGGATACGTCAGGTCAGGTCAACTTCACGGTCGGGTCAGGTCAACTATGTCGCCCGTGGTCGGCTGAGATCAGTGAGATGTACGAATACTCCTCCGTCCCTCCTCCAAAGTGCAGGGTCCACACTGCTCGCCTCGCACTGGACGAGATTGCGCGTGTCGATTTGAGTTCCAGGGGTCGTTGGGTCATTTCATCAACGAGGGCCGGGCGTCCCGAGTGCACACTCATCAACGAGACTTCTTTATGAGCGTTGAATGGGGAAGGTGAATCGTGAGCAGAAGCAAATGACTTGTCGGCCTTGTTGTAATTATTCCAGATCCCATCTCCCTTTTTCGACTTGGCCTCTCACGTCACACATTCATTCGCCATGTACCCTTTCAATGCATGACCCGGCCTGTCTGTGAGTTTGTAACAATCGACGCGATGGGACCTATCACTGGCTGAGGAGCCTCTCTCAAAGTCGAGTGGGTAAAGTCAGATGAAGGATTAAGGATTCCGGGGGGGGGGGGGCATCGGGAGGAGAGAGAAGGTGGTCAATGTGAAACGCAGGAACGGTCCCTGGAAATTATGTGATCAAAGTGGCGCTTCGGAATGGTTCGTTGGCACGCGAGGTTTTGTACAGATGATGAGATTGAATGAGATGGGGGGCGGTACGCCGGTTTGCGCCACTCAAGACTGCCGCCCGGCGCTGATGGGTGAGTGAGAGAGTCGAGACCTCCCGATCTACGAAAGTACACTGTAAACGACAAGCTCTGATGGGCGGAGGGAACGGAGGTGGGCTCTAATTAGTGGGTGTGACGCTGGTGTTGGATTGGAGGGGGGCTGTGGGTGGGATTTGATGAAAGTGAGATGTTTATTTCGTGAAACGATGAAACATTTTCAACGGGCATGAGATGCCATCGAAGTGAAGAATTTGTTCAACCACGCTCTCCTTTACTAACTCATGCACGCCGGAGGGATCATCAACGTCGTGTCACCAGGCCAAGAGACGAACCCGTGTAGTGAGTTCTTCACAAACATGTTCATCGAGAGGACGCAGGTCCATACTCAAAACCCAACCCATCACCTCGCATGCAGTCCGCTGGGCGCTGTACTGCGTAATGAACATCCGTCACTCAGGACCATCGACTGGGTTACAAGTCACCACATACAACGCGGTAGAATGGAGGGGGCCACGGGGGGCTGCACACGGCGCGGTACCATCCAATGAAGCGCAGGCCGGGAAGGGTAGGAACTTTGCAGTTTGGTTTGGCGTCGCTAGCCCGGGACAGCACCTCACTTGCTCCCCGGGCCCTGGACCCCTCCAGGAGATGTCCTAGTGTCGGCTTGCACGCTGTGCGAGATATTCGTTGGCTTGGGGGTGTTATTCGCTGAGGGTACTTGGACTGAAGTGCTGCACTGCGGTGCCTGCATGTTGCCTCCCGCGTCCTGCATGCTGCGGTCCAGGTTTAGGCTCAGCGGTTCGCACTCTCTTAGCACATCCAAGCAAATACTTACTGTCGCAGTACTGTGTAAGTATGACTACAGTCAACAGAGGTCCATGTCTGAACGTCGTCGGGGATGAAGCTCGGGAGAAAGCCCCGCCATTTGGCTGAGGCGTTGGCCCGTCGTCTGATGGCTGAGACGTACACAGGAGCAGTGGCGGACGGGCCCCTGGGCGGGGACTCGCGGAAGGCTCTAGCTTCTGCTTGACTGATGTCTTCCCTGGTTGTCTATTGTCTCTCTGTCCGTCTGGCACATGGGCAGCCTGCTAAAGTCCGATGACAGTGACTGGCGTTCGATGTTCCCCGTCCGTGTCTGGGCCCTGGGACAGCGGCCGGGCTGGATCATGGGTGTGAGGAGAGGGGATGTGTGGTGCCAGACGGACGCCCGATGAGACCCTATTCCGCCCAAGGTGCATGGTAAACTTGGCCCCAGAGGCTTGCATGTAAGGCCATGTAAGGTACAGGTCCGCTCCTTGGTGGTCTTCCCGCGGGACGAGTGGTAAGTGCCGGGTTATGTGGTTTTCCCATGTGGAGATGATGGAGAGTAGTGCAGCTCCCTCACTTCGTCTGTGATTCATCTTGGGGATTTGCGTTGAATTTTGTGGTCTCGACTCTTAAGCCCTTGGATGTTTCTTGTTTTCTCGTTTTGTTTCTTCCTCTCCTCTTTTTTCTTCTCCCTCTCGTCTGGTTCTTCAGTTTTGTCGACCACTTGTTCTTCTGTTGTCATTTCTTGATTTCAAGGAAGATTTGCTTTCTTGATCCTTTTCTTGAGGTCGTTGTTCGTGGGGTCCAGCAACGTTTTGTTTGTGAATTGCCCTTTTCAGCCAGCCAGCCAGCCTGTGCTTCCGATTCCCTCCCCACCACCACGCCCATCATCCCGAGTCACGAAACGAGGAACGGCACTTGGCCTCTGCGACGGCCTGGCTTTGGACGTGTTGATTAGTCCAGAGTTTCTGTTTTCATACATCATCAGCTGGAAAGACGACCGATAGTCCATTCATCGCTTGACGATAGCTTTGAGTCAGCCTCTTATTGTCGTTGATTCCGAGTCCCCGCCGGCATCGAGGAAAGTATATCGGAACTTTGAGAGATCTTGCCGGACTCCGCTGCATCATACCCACTCCGCCGAATTCGAACACGACTTGCGACCGAGCCGGCACCTTGACGTTAGTATCCGAATCGTATGCTATCGACACTGGAACCCATGGAAGACTGAAAGAAAGAAACCCGGAATTATTCATTGTCGTCGAAAAGGAAGCAAGAAGGTCCAAGTCTAGGTCCAAGTCTAGGTCCAGGTCCAGGTCCAGGATACCGCCAACTCCCAGGTGGTGCACACTCGAGCCCATTCCCGGTCACAGCGTTCGAAACGAGGAGAAATAGACCCCTCCACTTCTTTTCCCCGGCGAGTCGAAAACGAAAACCAAGAGACAAATTCATGCGAAGAGAGAGGCGATAAGCATATTCAAGGAGATCCTATTCGGGAGCAGATCCGAAACATCAGACTGAAGTTGTGAAGCGCGGACGACAGCGACGCTGTAAGAGAGGGACAAGGGACGAGAGACGCGGCGGGCTGTCATTGACTGCTCGGTCTGGTTCCTTTTTCCTGCGTCTGGAGTGTTTCTCAGTGGGAGTTTCTTGAGTTGAGAGAGGTCCGGGAGTCTCTTTTCGGTCGCCGAAGTAAGGGATATTTAACATCTTTGTGTCCGGTTCCCTTGCAAGCCCTTGGGGGTTCTCTTTTGAGAAAGATCCAGGCCAGGTGTAAGCAGCATTCGCTTTGCCTTGCTTTGCTTTGCTTTGCTTTCTCCCGTATTTCGAAACGGTGCAACTAAAGCGGCAGCGTTAGCAGCAACAATAGCAGCATTGCTCGACCACGGACCGTTGCGACAACCGAGTCGACTACGAGCATACGACAAAGTCATCGAGCCGAGGGTGTTTCGCCAATTCCCCAAGCGAGAAGGAAAGAGTTTGGTCCGCGTCGCATCGCATTCAAGCCACTTCTTTGTGGTAATACTCCTCCGTGGTGTTGGGTGCACCGCGATTGGTGGGGTTGCAATCTCTTGACGGGCGGGCAGTCTGTGAGTGCTGGGTTCTTGGAAGAGGATTTGAGTGAGAAGAAGAAGTGAGTGGGGAGACGGACGACCCCTGGTGGGAAATTGCACTTGCGGCGTCTGCGGGTGCTTGATCGCCGTCGGCTGTCACTTTTGCCTTTCTTAGCACTTAACGGCTGGTGCTAAGAAAAGGAAAGCTGACCTAAGAAAGAAGCGTCTTAGGTAAGGAGGCCAGCACCTCAAGCGAGAAGGACGAGCGACAAAGTACAGTACTCTGTAAAAAGAGAGAGAAGCGACAAAAGATGTGGGACGCCTCTTCAGGTGAAAGTCGCGGTGGAGCGGGGGCGGGGCCAACCGCTATAACGGGCCTGCAATTAGAGGGCAGGGTGGGTCCGGGGACCGACGCCCTATCAAGGTCCCGGTCAGGTACCAACGGCGGTACTGGTGCTGGTGTTGGTGCATTTGGTCCAGGTGTTGGCGGTGCTGGTGGTGCAATTGGCCGTCGGACGAACAGCCTGAAAACGACGGGCAGCCCTCAAAAGAAGTTGACGCCGCCGCCGCAGCTACGCGAGAGGAATCTTCTCAAGTCTGGTTCTGTCTCCGTCACCGGTTCTCTCTCTTCCGTCACTGGCTCTGTCACGCGCGAACGCGACCTGGAAGGTCACCTTGGACAACTTGGAGCTCATCCCTACCACCGCCAATCATCCACTTCAACATCCCAGCAACAGCAGCAGCCACGACACCAACACCACACGCCAACTTCCACGACAACACAACAAATCAGGGTGCATTTACGAGGAGGAGGAAGTGCCGGCCAACATCACCAGCAGTACCAACCCGTCCAGCCATATCAGTATCAGGTCCCCGGACAAAGAGGAGGAGGACCACCACCAGCTCCAACATCCGGAGCAGCATCTCGAAGTCGAGACACCATTGCCAACTACAACAGGCTCCGTCGCGAGACCCAGCACAGCTCCACGAGCACTTTGCACCACCAGAACTACTGGCCCGATAACTTTCGCAACCCGCACGGCGGACTCGGCATTGAGCACAACAACAACAACAAAACAACCACCACGAGATCGAATTCGACAGCGACAAACCCGAGGAACGACACTCAGTCCCGAACCGGTGGCATCCAGAAACGTGCCCTCGAAGAGAGTGGTGTTGCTGAAGAGTGAGTATTTCCATGCATTCCCCCCCCCCCCCCTTCCCCCGAATACATCGTATGATCCACGATATTTCACCCAAAATGCACAATGCAATGTGACGAGAAGAAAGAGGAAAGAGCGGAAGAGAGCAGGAGAAGGCCAGAGAAATGGAAAGATCAACCACACCACACCAAGAGAAGGAGCAGCTTGGAGCTTGGACACCCGTTCCTGCCCGTTGCGATATTGACTTTTTCGCGCCCTCCTCCCACGCGCCTCCTCAACGAACTCAACGAAGCTTAAGCGGCGGCCAAGCTCAAGCTCAAGCTCAAACCAAAAATCCCCCAAGATTTCCAATATCCGCGATCGAACGCGCCCGCCACTCGAGCCTTTCGCCCGGCCAGATGAGGTGAAGCTCTTTTTCAAGGTTTCCTGGCGTCAAAGCCAGTCGTTCCATGGGCTCACCATGGCGGCAGCAACCTCGTCCTCGCGCATGCTTCTCGTCCATCGCGACTTTTCCCGCAACCTCGACCACGTCGCTGGCACCTCGGCCTCCTTCTCTTGCAACCTCACTGCCCTTCAAGATACTCTTGAAAACGCCTTCCAAAACGCTCTTGCTAACATCTCGCGCTCCCGCAGCACTCTCGACGACCTCCTTCCCCCGCGCAACCTCTACAAGAACCACCGCGATACCTCTGGCGTCTGGCGCCCTGCTTCCTCCATCTACTCCGACGGCGACAACTACACCTCCCCCATCTCGCCAAACTTCGCAAACGTGGCTGCCCGAAACACCTACACCTCCGCCGTGGCGGACATCTCTCCCCCGAGCTCTCCTGACATGGAAGCTCACACAGATGGGTAAGTCGAGCCCAGTCATTCCTACCAAAAGGCGCAGTGTCGAGCAGTAACACAAAACGTTGGGTTTGTCTGAGAAGTCTTATTCTTCGCTCTCAAAACCCACGTGGAATGTGTCTTGTCTCGTCCCGCTTTTTTGGATAGTGATTCACTTGCAAGTCAACCACCCACTAACCATGTGCCTCTACTTCAGAACCCCCACGCAGGGCCGCGGGAATGTCTCGCCCATGGACGAGAGCCCGGACATGTCGCAGCTCGATATCAACGGCGCCCATGGCCAAAACGACCAGCATCACCAGGCTCAGCAAAAGACGAATATCCCCATGATGCGCCGAGAACGTCGCAAGAATCAAGAAGCTGCGGCTCACACTCTCCGAGAGACCAAATCCCAGCAACGGTTGCGGATCCAGCGCGAGACCAAGTGGGATGATATGACGGGCGAACCCACGTCCCAGACCACGGGCCGTGCGGGTCAAGTCAGGCCCCAAGAGTACGCCCAGGAGTTTGGTTCAAATTCGCAGTTCGGCAAGTCCCCGGCCGCAATGAGAGCCATGCAGAACGCACCACAGGCGCAGCAAACCTTTGGTGATCGTCTGCGAAGGTTGAGGCCCGTCGGCGGAAGCCCAAAGCAACAGCAACCCCAGCAGCCGCAGTCGCCGCCTCGGTCATCAACGACACCCGATGTCATTGACGAGCGCCCACCATGGCGAGGTGCAAGCGGACGAGCGCCCATTGTGAGCCCAGTCCGTGACACGAAGCCTGCAGCACCTCTCAACATCCCGCCCAAGAGCACCAGACGCGCCGCCGTTGGGCCTCGGCTGCCCATCGCAGGTGTCAATTCACCACTGTCCCCTGTCAGCCCCTCTGGATCTGAAACGTCACCGCGGTCGAGGACGCCCACCATCAGAACTGTCTTCAACGCTCCCCGCCAGCTGACTACTGCTTCTACCGCCTCATCTCCCTCCGCCGCTCGCACCCCTCCACCCGCACAGTCGGCATATCCCAGTCCTCCCAACTCGGGCGCTGGAGTCCAATCGCCCGTACATGCGACGCCCGAAGCCACTAATGACGCCAATGTCACGAAGAGACAACCCCCATCCCTGATGGGCTTGCCTTCTGCCCCTAATGCACATCTCGGCCTCGACAAGGCTATACGAAGAAAGCCTCCTCCTGCCAACTCGCATGCGCTTCACGCTCCGCAACCTTCCTATTCTTCAAGTGTCTACTCAGAGCAGACTGTTCACGCACCCGCCAGCACTCACGAAAAGTCACCGCCGCGCGCTCCTGCAGCAGCA